TTGTGTCCTACAGAATATGCCCCCTCCCTTGTGTCCTACAGAATATGCCCCCTCCCCTAATATTATGAACATTAATGTTTTAAATATTTAAAAATACAGCGATAATGAAACTAAATAAAGGAAACTGATCAGTAGAGCCAAGACTCTTTAACAAAGAGATGTACTTATTTACTGGTGAGAACTTTGAAATGTAAAAAAGCAGATACAGTACTGTATATCAAAACTAAACCGTACCCCCCCCCCCCCCCCCACACACACACACACACACACAAGCAGCTTCCTGAAGCTGCTTGTGTGTGACTGTGAAATAACAATGAGTTGCAGCAAGATGACGTCAGAGCTCATCACATCTGACCTGCCTTTCATACTTACTCTTTAAACAATAATAAGAACATTAAAACAGCTTGCAGTATCAGTAAAATGATACATTTTCTATCATTTCATTTGAATACATCAAATTTAATTCTGAATTAAATCTTAAATCAGAATATCTTCACAGAAATACAGTTTTGACATATGTAATTCTTAATTTTTAGGTATTTTAACACTTGATTACTTTTGGTTACCCTTGATTTCTGTCAGGGTTCTGCACTCCAAGTTGGTGTTTTAAAAAGCTTAACAATTACAAAAAAACATTTTGTTGTTTTTTTATGTAGTCACACTGATGCATTTGTATCTCGCTCTATTTTTTTATTGTTTTGCAGACGACTCTGAGCCACAGTGTAACTGCACCACAAGCACATGCAACATGTTCTCCGAAAGCCTCTCTTATCTCTTCCCATTCAACATTGAGTTCCACATCTTTGTCTCTGCTTTGCTTTTTGTCATGTGGAAGAACATCGGACGCACCATTGATCTGTCCTCAAACAGGAAAAGTCTGGTTACCAAAACTCAGGGTTTGACCTTAGGCCCCATTCTGGGTCTTCTGTCTCTGGCCAGCACTATTGGAATACTGGTGGTCTACATCACACGTGTCGAGGGCTCCCTTGAACTACGCTACGAAGCCATTTCTATGTTCTACATTTATGGCATTGTCACGTTGGTTGTCATGTGTGTTGCTGGTGCTTCGGGTCTGCTCATATATCGAGCAAACCACATAGAGTTTGACACCGCCAAGAACCCTTCAAGGCAACTAGACACAGAGCTGCTGTTTGGTTCCTCTGTTGGCTCCTGGTTCATGTCTTGGTGCAGCATCGTGTCTGTGTTAAGCACCAACAACAACCCTCCCTACCGCTGGACCAATCTGATCTACTCCACCCTGGTCATTCTGGAGAAGTACCTCCAGAACCTCTTCATCATCGAGTCCCTTTATCGTCAGCAAGAGAACGCCAAGATGGGCGACCCAGAGATCCCAGAGATCTCAGCTGCTCCGGAAGTGTTCTCAGTGGCCTCATCTTTGGCTCCAGCGTTGGATGGCATCGTCAATCAGGCTTTTGAGAACCCCGGCGGTGCCTGCGCCTCCATGGAGAATGAGCAGGAGAATGGACAGGAGTACGACTGTCAGCGGAAGCAGTCAAACGTGCCACTGCCTGTGCACACTCAGGTCGTGGAACCCTTCAATATGAAAAGGCTGCTGTTGAAGAACATCGCCATTTTATTGCTGATGTGCAACATTTCGGTGAGTATGACCAGATTATAAAGAAATTAAACGTGTTTATTAATGAAGCTTAACCTGTCACCATACACAAAAGTTTGGATTTCAATGGGAAATTGCTTGTAGAATGTTCTTCTTCTCAGAATTGCCACACTAATTACAGACTTTGTTTAAAATGGATTCATATAATAAAAATAGTAAATATTCTTGAAACGGTACTGTTATGTGTACTAGATTTTGTACATTTTTTTTAATTTTTTTACTAGTTTTGGTTGATTCTCTTGATTTTGTTTTGTTTTCTTACCCTCAATATAAAGGAAAATTGTATTGAAATATCTATTTTTAAATACTCGTCTCTGATTCTTCTTTAGCTGTGGATCCTCCCTGCCTTTGGGTGCAGGCCGCAGTACGACAACGGTCTGGAACAGGATACTTTTGGCTTCTCCGCATGGACCACAGTTCTCAATTTCGCCATCCCATTGAACCTTTTCTATCGCATGCACTCAGTAGCCTCCCTGTTCGAGGTGTTCCGCCGGGTCTGACAGAAAAAAAACTGACAAATGACAGTGACAGGACACATGGGAACACATGTCAGCACCGGGTCCTGAGGGGGTGTCCCAGCGCAGGTCAGCTGTTCAGGAGGCAGTTGGGGTCACTCCTCTGCAGACTGGAGAGTAAAGCCATGGAGACAAACACCGTAGTTCCTCATATGTGTGGTGATAACTGATGAAGACTTCCCCGAAGAGGATTGCTGTATACCAAAAAGCTCATTAGAAGTGACGATGAGGATGTCTTGTTTTTGTTGTTTTTTTAGAGTTTTGTTCTCATACTTCAAGAGTTTATTTTAAACGGGTTGATCAAGTAAAATTGAGACCTACATGCTTGATCAAAATATGCACATTTTATACTGTTTGTTTTTAGTGACTAAATGAGGTTGATAAAACAAAAATCAGAAAAGCCGCTGTATATAATGAATATGGATGAAGTTCTCCCCTAATGTAGTTGGAGTAGAGTACCGGTAGTAGAACAGCGTTCATGTTTGAGTTGAAAGGCTAGTCACGATCTTACAAATTCATCTTTTTATTTTGTTGAATGTTTGTTCTCAGAAGGTGCACCTTCCTCTCTCAGTTGGTCAAAGTTCATCAGTGTCATTAAACATGCTGGTTCTCCGTTCTGTTGAGCTGATGGAAAGTTATGTGACCTGAGGTACAATCACCGATAAGTAGAGTGAGTGGTAGGAGAACCTCAACTTCTCATGTCTTTATACAGATAAGTGATTAGCAGAGGCATTGCTTGCAAGTTAGATGCATTTTATTTCTTCACAAAAATATAAAAGTTACCCTGGTCTAAGGGCTAGTGTACTCCCAATGAGAGCTTAAATATTAAATTATACACGATACACCTCAGGTCACATAACTGGATTAGGTGCCCTAGCAAAATTTTTCTAAAATAAAAAGAGATAAAACATTTCTTTTTTAAAGTAGAGCATTTAATTTTGTATCCTAATATGATTATGCATCAAAACAGGCAAATTATTGAACACAAAGAGGAAAAAAAACACAATCACAGTCATGATTTCTGAGCAATGTCTGCTATTTTAACGCATGAAAGACCAGCAGTGAAACTTTTAGTCTGTGACAAAACTTTGCACTGTACTTTTAAAATCTGTATGAAATCATATTCAGGTGTCCAGCAAGTTCTCAGCCTGGTGCTAACCTCCCTCTGACTTCTCTACACGTGTCAAGTTGTGAGAAACGAACACCAACAACAAGAATCTATGTTTGGGGGTCTTAATTTACAAATTGTCACAGCACTATTGTCTTTCATCAAAGTCTCTCAGCCACTGTAATAACATGTATATGTACACTAAATTGTGTTTAAAGTGTCTAAAAACATCCATTTTCAATGAAAATTAAAAATATAGTTTTATTTTTCAAATGTAAATGCCACATTGTCTTCTTTGTTATACAGCTGAGAAATGTTGGTGACACGTGCAGTTTGCATTTTATCCACTAGGTGAAGCTAAATAAACATGTACTCAAGACTTCCCTTCAAAAAGAGCCTGAATCATTCACTCATGACTGTTTGTGACTAATAAGTTTTACACAAGAAAGCCTCCAGGAAGAAAAACATGTTAGTTAAAATAATAAATGAGAAGCATCCCGACAAAACACAAAAAGGTCACAACAAAGAGACCTGGTTTTTAAAACAGCAGTGCAAAACAAAAAAAAAAAAAGTGTTTTGTAACTCTCCACTAAAACATGTGCCACACTTTAAATGTGTTCAAGCGTCTCTTGTGATATCCTCGATAACGTCTACAGGAGAAGCAGCAGACTAAACGTTGTGTTGGTCCCAGGCTGCCTCCTGACTCTGATGTGATCCTGCAGATTATGGGTCAGGCTACTCCAGAGAATTTGGGGCCTAACGTCAGAGGATTATTTCAACATAGTGTCTGAACGATTTGACAGGCACGCAGACACATCTAAAAATAACCGTGACGTTTCAAAGGCGGAAACCGCACTGCTGTTGCTGCTGCTGATGTTTTTGCTGCTGCGGAGCTGCTGGCTGTCCGTGCCCCCTGATCAGAGTGTGAATGTGACTCACCGGTTCAGAAACGTCTGCACAGAGGACGGATGAGCTCTGACCTCAAGCCAGGGATCGTTTGAGGGCAAACAACCACCTGTGCTCAACAAGGAACCAAGGAATATTTCTAATCTTCTTTAAATACAAGCAGGGGAAACAAATCTAATAAATAATACAATTGTCATTTTAAATTAAATATGGTGTTTAAAACTGTGTATGCTTGGAGATTTGTTTAGAAAACAGCTTAATTTGGTTCAGGCATCACGGCTGGGTGGATGGATGGATGGATGGATGGATGGAGGGAGAGAGAAACATAAAGAAATAGTTGCAGACTGAGTTTTAGTACCATGGACAGCTCTGATAGAAGCTTCCACAGTAAACTTATGGCCCTTTTCCAACAATGTTACAGGTAAGTCAGGGCCTCTGTATGGAGGTTACACCTTCACATAGTGGGTCAACCATTATGTGAAGGTGTTTTTTTTATAAGACTGAGTTTGTTGTGGCTCCTCAAACTGAAGAAGGTTTTTGGATGAAAGACGAAACGTAATAATAATAATAATAATAATAATAATAATAATAATAATAAAAATTTAAAAAACACATCCAGAGGACCTGACTTAACTTTGTTGGATATTTTTTACCTGGATTATTGAGCATGAACTTTAATGTTATGGCTCTTGTGTTTTGTAAGGCCCAGCCCAGCCTAGACTGGCCCAACCTGGGTTCCACACTGGGTTTTGAGTGTTGGCATTGGGCAGTCTGTCTCAGTTCCAGCTCGGTTTTTGAAACCCAGAGACCTGGGGTTCCATTTAAGCTGGGCTGGTGCTGCAGATTTAATGTCAGCGGACTGCTGGCCAGTGACTGGTTTGCTGGCCTGGGGGAGTCACGTCACAGATGAGTCATACTTTCAGCCACTGCTTCTTACCACCATTTTCTTCAGCTACTTGTTTCTGGCTGAGCCAGAGAAGACTAGGGCTGGGCTGATTATGGTCAGTCCAGGCAAGACTGGGCTTTACAATGCATAAGAGGCATAAGGGAGAGTTACCAAGTTATTTATGCTTTATTGATTTCATGCTTTACAACGTAACAACTATATAGCATGTTCATTACTCCCTGAAATGCATCTTACGATCATCAGGTGAATTGTTTTTTGGCTAAATCTTTGCCCAGGTTTAAGAAAGAATGAAAAGCACTCATTGTACAGGTATGTATAAAAAGCACTAATGTATAAGACAGGTCTAGACAAACACTTATCATTGAATGAGACATAAAATGACAGTGTTGCTCCCTCTAGTAACTCATTAGGAATGAGCTCTTAGTAACTGATGGCTTCATTTAGTTTAACAACGTCATCTTTACTTTCATTGTCAGACCACTTTCACCACGGTGAGAACTATAATATACAAAAATTAAACTTTAAAAAATACTCTTCAGGAGTATGTACATTTCACATGTACACACAGTTACACACAACACACACAACAAGAGACTTATTAACAAACAGACCACAGTTAGTGAGGATCCACAACTTCTCCTCCTCCACCATAACCCTCAGCACTGGCTCTCCTCAGGGATGTGTGTTGAGCCCCCTCCTGTTTACTCTGCTCACGTATGATTGTGCAGCTACCCATCCAGGCTGTCACATTGTAAAGTTTGCAGATGATACAGCGGTGGTGGGATGCATCACAAACAATGATGAGTCCATCTACAGGCAAGAGGTGGAACACCTGGAGAGCTGGTGCAAAGAGAATAACCTTCACATCAATGTGAAGAAGACAAAGGAGATGATTGTGGACTTCAGAAGGAACAAACACACCTACACCCCCCTGAACATAAGAGGATCTGCGGTGGAAGTGGTCTCCAGCTTCAAGTACTTGGGTGTACACATGAATGACAACCTCAGCTGGAGCAACAACACCACCAGCCTGATCAAGAAAGCTCATCAGAGACTCTACTTCCTCAGGCGGCTGAGGCGAGCTGGTCTGGGAAGCTCAGTCCTCACCTCCTTCTACAGGTGTGCAGTGGAGAGCATCCTGTGCTCCAGCATCAACATGTGGCATGGAGGCTGCACAGCTGCAGAAAGAAAAGATTTGCAGAGAGTGGTGAAGGCTGCACAGAAGATATTGGAGTTAGCCTCCCCACCATCACAGACATCTACACCTCTAGATGCAGGAAGAGGGCCACCTGCATCATGAAGGACCCCACTCACCCAGCACACACAATTTTTGCCCCGCTCCCCTCAGGAAGGAGGTTGAGGAGCATTAAGTGTAGAACCACTAGACTGAGGAACAGCTTCTACCCTGAGGCTGTTAGACTCATGAATCTCTAACTAGAATAATCACTGTGAAAAACCATATCATGTTGCTGCTGATCTGTTTCATGTTGCTGCTGATCTGTTTCAATGTTGATGTGTTCATGCGTGCTCATCTGCTCACAGACTCATGTTCATGTTTGTGCTGATGTTTAATGTTTTATGTTACAAGTTCTTAGTGTATATTTAGTTGATGTTTTTCTTAGTTCATATCTTAGATGTTATTACTGTTTTTCTTATACATTTTATTGTTGGATGTAACTGGGACCCTGTGTACATAATTTCGCTCCACCACATGTACCACATGAGGTGCGAATGACAATAAAGAAACTCTGACTCTGACTCTGAGTTAAGCAGCACATTAGTACAAAGCTACACTTAGCATCAAAGATTCACCTCAATGTCTGAGTTACTGGATGGAGAATCCTTGCTGCAAAATTCATTGACATTCCTTCATAAAGATGTAAAAAACAACAAAAGTCACACACAAAAATATGACAGATTTTTTAAATCCTCCTCATCTGTGCTCCACATTCTGACCATACAAAGAAAACTTACACTAAGCCATCAGCACTCTGCTCAGTCTCTGCTAACCGTCATTAGTGGTGTCAATTTGACCGCTGAAGAACATCCCCCTGGACTTCACATCTGGTTTTTAACTGATGTTTCTTAACAATAACCTTTGTTATTTTAATCAATTTGTGAATAAATAAAATGACATTAACATGAACTTACCATCTCTGTTAGTTGCAGACAGCATCTTTTCTAATGGTTTAGGCTTCAGTAACATCATTAACTTCATGCAGACTCTCACACTGGTACATCTTCATCTCCACTTATGTCTCTGTGTGAGTGCAGCTACAGCGTGCGCTCTCAGGACATTATTACCTGCAGTGTTCCCTCAGTGAGGACTGAGCTAGGCAAAAGGGTTGTCTCCTACTCTGCTCCTGTTTCCTGGAATATCTTACAAAAAGATCTGAAGCTCTCACCTTGACCTCTCTAAGTGGCTTCAAAGATCTGCTAAGTTTGTTGCAAAAACCAACACAGACATGTTCCTGTTTCTAGTATTTTACATCGCTTTATAATGTAGCTGTTGTAGTTTCATCTTTTTTATATCATTTTCTTCCATTTTTTACATGTATATGCTTTATTTTATTATTGTCTACTGTTGTCATCATTCTTTGTTAAAACCAGGTCTCTCTTGTAAATGAGTCCTCGAGGCTCAATGAGACTAACCTGTATAAATAAAGGTTGAATGAATGAACCACAAATTAATGGATACAACGTCACGAACAAGAGATTAGACAAGATAGCTAGTCAAAGTAGGTTGAAGGTTCAGGTGGATAGAAAGTCAGTAATTATGTTCTATATACCAACTGTTAGATGCCTGTTTTTGTTTTGCAGTATTCTTAACTTCAGTTCTTATTTTACTCACAAAAAACTCATAGGATGCAGCACTTTTATTGTAAGTATATCCATCCATTCATCCATCCATCCATCCATCCCTCCATCCATCCATCCATTCACCATCCATCCATCCATCCATCCCTCCATCCATCCATCCATCCATCCATCCATCCATCCATCCATCCATCCATCCATCCATCCATCCCTCCATCCATCCATCCATCCATTCATCCATCCATCCATCCATCCATCCATCCATCCATCCATCCATCCATCCATCCATCCATCCATCCATCCATCATCTTTACCCATTTACTCACACCTAGGGACAATTTAGTTACCAATCAGCCTAACATGTATGTTTCTGGTCTGTGGGAGGAAACGGGGGTAGCTGGAAAAACCCACACATGCACAGAGAGAACATGCAAACTCCACGCAGAAAGCCCCTCTGCCAGGATCGATAAGGCGACCTTCTCATTGAGAGGTGGCTCTACCAATTGAGCCGCCTACTGTAAGTACATGAGATGTGTCATAAACAGGTTTGTAAGTAAAGATGTGTTTATATAAATATATGTTACGATGCAGTGTGCGAAGATAAATGAAAAAAGGAGGTAAACTCAAAATTCTGACCACTGACAAGTGAAGAAATAGATATAAACAATTGGGTAACACTTTACAATAAGGTACACAAAATTTGCTTAACCACTAGGGAACGCCTAAGGAACAAATCAGGAGCTAATGGATAGTTAACCAGTACTTATTGGGGAACATACAGTCAAGCCTTATTAAGGGACTACTGGTTTGCTACCACAGAAACAGAGGGAAAATTATCCATGTGAGTTCTGAATAAACCCTGCACCAGTGAGGTCACAGCTCGTAATGGACAAAAACCTGTTTCTTAGTGATTACTGATTTTATTACCCATTAGCTCCTGATTGGTTCCTCTTTAGTTTCCTTGGTAACTGCCCATTAGTTATTGATTAGTTCCTTTTCATTTACAAGGCAACTAATCAGTAGTCCCCTAATAAGACTTAGCTGTATGTCCCCCAGTAAGTACTGGTTAACTACCCATTAGTTCCTGATTAGTTCCTCTTCATTTCCCAGGTAAATAACCAGTAGTCCCCTAACAAGGCTTGGCTGTGAGTTCCCCAGTAAGTACTGGTTAACTATTAACTCCTGATTTGTTCTTGATTAGTTCATGAGGCGTTCCCTACTAGTTAATCAAATTTTGTTTACCTTATTTAAAAGTGTTACCAAACAATTGTACAGTATACTTCTTTCTTCTTCTAATTTAAAACATATAAATATAATACTTTAGTTTATTATTATGGATTTCTTATAGTTTTAGAAGTTTTCTCTAAATTAATATGTTCAAATAAAACATTAATTAATTAATTAATCAATCAATAAATTAATTAATTAATTCTTACCTGAGCTACGACCTCCAGATCAAATTCCACTTCTAAACCAAACCATCCTTTGAGCCTACTGGAATCAAACCTGAGCTCAAACAACTTGTGTAAAACTGACCCCCCCCCCCCCACACACACACACACACACACACGCACGCACGCACGCACGCACGCACACACACACACACACACACACACACACACACAGTGTTCTGCAGACTGATTTTCAGCACCATGGACAGCTCTATCCAGAGTCACCAGATATAACAGTCTATTCGTGGTTCCATTGTGAGAACAGGCTTGTTGTGCTTATTAACTATATCCAAATAAAATATTTTAAAGCACGCGCCAGTCAGTTCACGTCCGGAAAAAAGAAACCGTCTCTCTGTTCGGTCACATGAGTTCTAAAAGGTTTTCAGACAACAGGAAGACGTGGCGGTGCAGTCAGACAAAAGTTCTCAGTTTGGACTCTTTAATGACTTTGGCGCGTCTTCACAGAGCCTCGTGCTTTCCCCTGAGCACTGCTGCGCATTGACACCACGCACGAAGAAGGCGTCATGGTGCATGCGCCGAGCCCTGGTTAGGTGGTGTCAGGCTGTAGGGACTCCCTTCTCATCGCGCTCAGAACATCTCGGAGCGACTGAGGCAGCCGGGTCACGCGAGCGGACCAGCAGGATTTTTTCAACATGCTCTCACGGCTGCATGCTGCGTTTCAGTCCTCCCGCGCGCTCGGTCTCCATTTCACGCACTCTTTTCCTCTGCTTCGCTCCGCGCACCAAGGAGGCAGCCCGGCGGGTCGGTGGGGACGACTCAGTGACCCGCAGATAACTGAGCCCGTCCCGGCGCGCGCAGTAATGGATTGCAGTTTTACATGAAGAGGGGAACATGGAGAACCCAGCCAAGTATCTCTCCTCCGTGCAGGGGATCGATTCCGTGCCGGCACCCCTTGGAGAGCTCATGATGTGGAACAGCACGGAAACGGAGGCGACGGGCGACGGGAGGAAGGACACGGTGGTGCGCACGGTGACGGGCTGCCTCCTGTCCCTGCTCATCCTGTGGACCCTGCTGGGGAACATCATGGTGTGCTCCGCGGTGCTGCGCTTCCGCCACCTGCGGACCAAAGTCACCAACATCTTCATCGTCTCCCTGGCTCTGTCGGATTTATTCGTGGCGGTGCTGGTGATGCCCTGGAAAGCCGTGGCCGAGGTGGCGGGCTACTGGCCGTTTGGCACATTTTGCAACATCTGGGTCGCTTTTGACATCATGTGCTCCACCGCCTCCATCCTCAACCTGTGCATCATCAGCGTGGACAGATACTGGGCCATCTCGAGCCCCTTCCGCTATGAAAGGAAAATGACCCAGCGGGTGGCCTTTGTTATGATCAGCATCACTTGGACGTTGTCTGTGCTCATCTCATTCATTCCGGTCCAGCTGAACTGGCACAAAGCCACGGCTGACGACATCCTGCCGGCCGCGGCGCGCAACTCTTCATCCACAGGTCTCCAGGTGGAGGAGAACTGCGACTCCAGCCTGAGCAGGGAGTACGCCATCTCCTCCTCGCTGATAAGTTTCTACATCCCCGTGGCAATCATGATTGTAACCTACACCAGGATATACAGGATTGCTCAAATCCAGATCAGGAGAATCGCGTCGCTGGAGCGCGCGGCGGAGCACGCGCAAAGTTGCAGGTCGAACCGAATTGAGTGCCAACACCACAACACCCTGAAGACGTCGATCAAACGGGAAACCAAAGTGTTTAAAACCTTGTCTGTGATCATGGGGGTGTTCGTGTGCTGCTGGCTGCCTTTCTTCGTGCTCAACTGCATGGTGCCGTTCTGTGACAGGCCCGCCGCGGGCGGAGCCGCGGGCCTGCCGTGCGTCAGCGAGACCACGTTCGACGTGTTCGTGTGGTTCGGCTGGACCAACTCCTCCCTGAACCCCATCATCTACGCCTTCAACGCGGACTTCAGGAAGGCCTTCGCCAGCCTCCTGGGCTGCCGCTACTTCTGCTCCAGCACGCCCGTGGAGACGGTGAACATCAGCAACGAGCTGGTCTCCTACAACCAGGACACCATCATACACAAGGAGATCGCCAACGCCTACGTCAACATGATCCCCAACGTGGTGGAATGTATGGAGCACGAGGAGACGTTTGACAGAATCTCCCAGTTTTCACACAACAACGACAACGGCACAGACTCCGTGTGCGACTTGGAGGACTGCGAGGCTGACATCAGCCTGGACCGGATGTCTCCCTTCACCCCGAACGGATTACACTGACTCCCCCAGTTCTGTCCTCTCCACGTGGAGGCCACAGGACAGCAGAGCTGCAGCTTGTTGCAGGGAGGTGTGATGAGGCAGGGAGGGGGGTCAGCTGCTGACATTTCATCAGGACGTATCTGCAGCTACAAGACCCCCACCCCTCCTCCTCCTCCACCACCATAGCTTTGCATCATATATAAAATGTGATGTTGTCCTGTTCTGAAAACAACAACCAAGTGATGTTTAGTGAAGTCCGTGCTCCTTTGTTCAAAGGTTCAGTGTTGCTGAAGCTGTTGTTTACTTAAAGGCTTTATTTAAAGCATCTATGTCTAATTTTCATCCACTCTGAAGGAGAGAAAAAAGTTTGTAACTTTATGTTGCAGAGTCCACCCTTCCACTTGTCATGACAGCTGAGGGCAGCCTTACTGACAGTGCAACAACAAATAAAAGTCAAATGCAGTAATTTCAGCGTCTTACAGCTAAAGAAAAGGAGATCAGATTGTGGAGGAATGTGGAGTTGAAGTTACACGATGCCAAAATGCATTATTGAAGTGTTTCGCCACACCAGTCGCCCCAGTGACTGCTCTGTTAGTCCATCTGCACTGCTCCGTGTGGGCTACCGTGCAGTTTGTTTCAAAAGAGCCACAGACTCTGGAGTGGAGTATACTGAAAAGCACAAACACTTACTGTGATGGTATTTAGAGTCATCTCTAATCCACCTAAAATGTGAATAAAATCAACAGAGACATTAAAACATTTATGTTTTAATCGTTATTTTCTGTGATTCTTCATTTTACACTGAGGCCAAAACGTGTTATGGTTCAGTTGTCAGCCCATTTTATACGACCAAAGACTTTAAAAAGATAGTTCAGATCTTTTGAGGTGGGGTTCTGTGGAAATGGTATAAGCAGTAAATATCTTATCAGTTGCAGATAACACTGTGAACAACCTTACTTGGAAGAAAAAATAGTTTAATGCTGACCGGACTGCAGAAAATGCCTCGTTTGAGAAGGGAATAGACCAGGGTGGATTGTTGCTGCCTGAAAACAGTAACAGTCTCAAGTTTCATACCATTTCTTGTGAGCTTTATGAATCTTTTCACCACACAGCAGTCATTCGGGCAGGAATATGGATCCAGGCTGCCTTGAAAGTGCTACAACTAACTGTTTGTGCTTGTAAATCCTAGATCGCTGTGAAAATAACCATGTATTGAGAAACTGCGGTGGTGTAAATGTTTAAAAATAATTGCTTACATGAACAGCTATTTGTTTCTTTCAAATTTGGAGTATTGTATATGGCAGCAGTACATTCTGGTCATGGTTCAATCTGGTCAGAATAAAACTGCTTTTCTCCCAAATGAGATAATTCAGCATGTCATCAACAGCAGGTAAGATATTATTCATTCATAAACTTTCCACAGAATCCAATTTCAAACTATCCACACAGTCATGTTAGCATGTAAATATGTCAGCCACAGTAAGTGGAGTGTTTTGTCAGCTGGAAGAATTGTTTCTGCTTGCACTGGCCAACACGACTGGATGTCATACGTCACTTCTTCCACATCTTTGTACTGTGCAGATGACCTATTCTGAATGTATTCCTGTACTTTGAATGGTGAATTGTGTCATCATTTGTCTAATAAAATGCTGTCCTGCAGAGAGGGACATGGTGCACCAGTATTATGCTGAACCCTCAATGACACAAAGCTATAGGAGACAAACTGATTAGTTAATTTAACAGATATCGATTTAAAAAATTGGTGTGTAGTTGAGACTAATTCTCACCATATAACAGAATGTTTATGTTTCTTTTTTTCATCTCTCCATCAAGTTTCATGTTTCTATGTTGGAGATTTTTCTACAACATCACCCCAAAAACTGAAAACATGAGCCACACACTGCATCACACATATTCACAACAGTGAGCACATTAAAGGCGATGCTGCGTGAGAAAATTTGATGTGTGTTAGAGAGGCTCAGGGTCAAACCTCTGACCTGCACTGGTCGCTCTAACTCTGCAGCTTGAGCTCCCGTCTCATCAGCAGGCTGTGGGTAAATTATTGAGACGTAGGAACTACTCCGATTCTACACATCAGACTTTGTTCAAATCTCTCAGTGAGGGAGAGAGAAGGCAGGATAAACTCCTCTAATACTGAAGGCTAATGTGTGGGGTGATGCTTTTAGACAAAAAAAAACATCAGCAAACTTCTTAAATGTGATTATTTATCAGCAACATTGTTGTGTTTCTGTATACAACTCTTAATTTTCCATCCATTACGTTCCGCTTATTACAAAGTTGGGTCTCGGGGGCAGCAGCTTGATCGGGAGGTCCTGACACCTCTTTCCACAGCCACCTCTTCCAGCTCTTCTGGGAGGACTCCAAGGTGTTCCCAGGCCAACTGAGAGACATGGTCTCTCCAGCATGTCCTGTCCCTGGGGTCTCCTCCCAGTCGGACATGCCCGAAGCACCTCCCTAGGGAGGCGCCCAGGGAGCATCCTTACCAGATGCCCGAACCACCTCAACTGGCTCCTCTCGATGTGGAGGAGCAGTGGCTCAACACTGAGTCTCTCCCCGATAACTGAACTTCTCTCCCTAAGGGAGAGTCCAGCTACCCTGCAAAGGAAACTCATTTCAACCTGTTGTATCCAAAATTTCATTCTGTCGGTCACTACCCAGAGTTTGTGACCATAGGTGAGGGTAGGAACGTAGACCAACTGGTAAACAGAGAGCTTTGCCTTACAGCTCAGCTCCCTCTTCACCACAACGGACCGGTACAGAGTCCGCAGTACTGCAGACGCTGCACCAATCCTTCTGTCAATCTCACGCTCCATTCTTCCCTCACTCATAAACAAAACCCCGAGATACTTGAACTCCTCCACTTGAGGCAGAACCTCACCCTTCGACCTGAAGAGAGCAATCCATCCTTTCCCGGTTGAGGACCATGGCCTCAGATTTGGAGGTGTTAATTCTCATCCCAGCCGCTTCACACTCAGCGAACCGCTCCAGTGAGAGCTGGAGATCACAGCACGATGATACCAACAGGACCACATCATCTGCAAAGAGCAGAGATGGAATCCTGAGGCCACCGAACCAGAAACCCACCACCCCCTGTCTGCACCGAGAAATGTTGTCCATAAAAGTTATGAACAGAATCTGTGACAACGGACAGCCCTGGTGGAGTCCAACTCCCACCCTGAAGGGGTCTGACATACTACAATGCAAATTAATAATTTTGATGAGTCAAATTAAGTTAGAAATAGCATAAACCAGCAAAACTGGTAAAAGACGTGCATTTGTCACAGAAATAATCTATTTACTACTTATATATTTAATTCAAGAGCACCAAATAAAAATGTTTTTAAGCATAGTGCAAATTATTTAAAATTATTACCTTGATTTCATTTGATTCCTAATTACAAATTTATTTGTATTATAACACAAACATGCATTTAGTTAAATCAAACCGTGCACGCATTTTGTGATGCGTTTGATAAAACTTTTCATCATGACCGGCAGCTGCTGAAGACCAGACGTGATAACGACCTGTTTTTCTGTTTGTTAGCAAAATATCTCATGAAATACTGAATGGATTTGATAAAATAAAATAAAAAATCTAATCTTGATAAATATAATTAACTGTTTACCATTTGGAATCAACTATATTCAAGATGGCCAAACACAAAAGTGCTTGTAACTTGGCCAGTTTTGGAGATACTAAGCCAGAACTTGGTGTGGTAGTAGCTTAGAGTCCCTCAGCTTAGTCATGTAGCTTTATTCTCTCAGCTTCAATAGGCATCAGGACGGATATCTTTCAGCTGAAGCTCCATTTTCACCTCCATCCTAATACTGATAGGCGCTTGTCCTTTGGGAGGAGAGACGACAGCGAGCAGGAGGAGATGCTCAGCAGAGCACATTGTGTCTGTTAGACCTGAAATGTGTTTGAAATCTCAGCCACGGCTGGAATTAAACTCCTGGTCATCTGTGAAGGGGCTTGCACTTTTGAAACTACATTCTCAAACTCAGGTTGTATTTTGACCTTTGATTGAATAATTAAAGAGTTTATAAATTAGTACCAGCTCTGAGCCATAGTTTCTGCCTACAGAAGAAGCCGATCTAATTTATTTGAGACTGGAAACATTACACACACAACATATAAAAATATAAATTTTCGACCTGTTTTTAAAGCAATAATTCAACGAATGAATGAAAATAATAAACCTGCAGCCGTCCCTGTGGGCTTCCTGTCGACTCCCTCTCTGTGTTGTGTCCTTGCATCGCAAAGAAGATGCAAGAGGTGGTTTGACCTCGATGTTTGGCCGTGACAGGAGAGCTGGAGAGGAAGAGAAGGGTAGGCTTGGGGGGAGTTACACCAGCCGTCAGGACACATTCATCAAAACCACTTTCTTCCTGATGCACACACACTCACACGCACGCACGCGCGCGCACACACACACACACACAAAGATGCCTCATTGTTTGGAGACATGCGATTGATTCTCGATTCACCGTGTTATTTTCTCTGATTCAGAACAAGACAAACAGTTTGCCCCCTGCTTGTCTCCTTTCCACTTTTAGCATTTTCCTCTTCTTTCTTCCTCTAGGTCCTGCTTAATGAAGCCAACATGAAAATCAGTGTCATTTCTTTTTGAAATTTGATTATTTTCTGGACTTAATGACATTAAGCTTACTGAATGTAAACCCATATTCTTAGTTTTGTGTCTCCTCATCATTATATCTGAATTATAAACCAAAAACCTACTTCAGAGTTCAGTAGATTTACTTTATAATTTAATGCAGCATATGCTTTAAGACTTGTGTGATCAGGCAACAAGAATTATGCCACATCTTGGCAGTAAATTACACAATATTTGTCCACATTGACAACTGTTTAGTAACTGATCAAAGAATATTTAAAGAGAGAGGACATATTTGTTCTCCAGACTCACAAGATACAAATTAGTTGGGGCCTGATTTCATCTATGGGAAGAAACCCCAAAGCACAAAGACCTCTCTCCAGA